AGATCAAGGGTCCTTTATGTTTCAGATATTGTGTTAAGCATTTTCAGATCAGTGGAGGTAGCATTTGTTTTAAGAGGAGTCAGGAATTGAAGGGTATAATAACAGGAACAAACTTGGTTCAATAAGTTCTACTATTAGAAAAACATACTCTAAAAAGGAAGAAAGGTGCATAGCAAGGTCAACATCCCCTTTAGCACAACGACAACTATTAGATAAAGAATTCAGCTGTACAAAGTGTAAGATCCTTCAGAAGGTTTTTCATAGGTACTGAAATAACTCCAGAGAACATTTCAACACACAACTGGGCAACTACTAATCAGCTACATATTCAAAGAAAAAAAATTTTAACTCCTTAACATGACAGTAAATTGTAAACCCTGGTTTAATAAATATTTTAGGCTTCTATATGGAATAAAACGGTAACAACTATTTTCAAATTTAATTACATTTCATTTTAATTTCAATCTGTTTCACTTTTAAGCCTTCTAAGACTATGACATACATTCAAAACTGCTTTTCCTTCTCTAGAAATCTCAAACCTAGATCAACTTTAGGCTGATAGACCAGAAGCAAATTAAACTTGACCACAATAACCCAAATTTCATTTCAAGGAAACTAGATAATCATTTATAAAACTACAAGAATTCACCCACTGAAGGGTGGAATTTCTATTATGTTAAGTTGAGACCTCAGTTAAATGTATTAACTTTACGTTAATATCACGCCTACACAGTTAATTAGATATGGAGTCAAAACTACCTAACTACCCTTCAACTCTTCAAACCATAATGCCAACAGAAACATTAATGCTCTGGTCTCCTGACTCTTTGGAGCCTTTGAAAAGAAATCTGATCTTCACTTGAGGAATTTACTCCAACCTGATCTAAGATATCTCATTCACTAATTGCTATTTCAGATTATTTAGTTTAAATTTTTTTCTAAAAATACCATCTGTATAATAGAAGATTATGGAAATTGAGGTAAACTACTGAGATCCTTGCCACCCTCCTAGAATGCAAAGCCCATAAGGGCAAAATCTTTAGCTTTTTCTTCCAATATGGTATCCTGAGCACAATGAATATCCAAAATTGTTCATTTTATTCACTTTCCCAAGTCAGCATGAGTTCGTTAAGCATGCTTTTACTGAGTACTTCTTCTAGCATTATACTAACCATGAAAGTAAAATTTTAGAGTTCAGTCTTCCAATAGCTTAAAAACCTTTTTGCAGAAATAATATGGGAAAAGGAAATATAATTAAGAGAAAGTTCAAGGAAGTACATAATTAGATACAAAACTTCAAGCACCAAAGAAATAATGTAGGATAGTTCAATTTGAAATGACAAGAGAGGAGAGGGAATGTGGGAATTTGAGGAAGAGCAGATTAGAATTAAACAGGAAGAAAAGGAATCTCAAGAATACAATGAACAATGTCCTACTGAAGACATGAGCTTGGCCTAGCCTAAGCAGGCCAAATGAGGTAGGGAAACAGAGAAAGTGAGGAAATCTTCAAGTAAGGCAATGGTAATGGATAGAAATAAACAAATAGAATAAATAGAGCAGCTTCTCTACCTCAGTTACAAAATGGAGTCACCTGAAAGCTTTTGAAATGCTGTTATCTGGACCCTGATCCGGAGATTCTGAATTCACTGATCTGGGGTATAACCCAGACATCAGGATTTTTTGTTGTTGTTGGCATTGGGGATTGAACCCAGGGCCTTAGGCATGCAAGGCAAGCACTCTACCAACTGAGCTTTATCCCCAGCCCCCAGACATCAGGATTTTTAAGGTTCCCCTGGAATTCTAATGTGCATCACTGCCTCATAAGAAAAACTAGTGGAACTTGGTAACTGATATAACGGAAGGAAAAACAAAAACTCAAGAGATTATGACAAGGATACGTCTATAAAAATGATATTAACTAGAGAATCCAAAGAATGAAACAGTGCAAATAGGACAGCCTTTCTAGACTTTATCACTTGGTCTACATAGATCCCCATAATGAACAAGTCAGCATGAGCTCATTAAGCATGCTTTTACTGAGTACCTCTCAGTAAAAGCATGCTTAATGCAGGTCATTTAAATTCTCCACATATGGTAATTATTTGTCTAATATTTTTCAACAGAAATGATAAAATTAAATTAAACCATTATTTTAAAATTTAAGGTAGAATTCAAACATAAGTATATAAATCTGCCAGGCAAACACTCGGAAGGCTGAGGGAGAAGGATGGCAAGTTCAAAGTTCAAAGGCAAGTTCAAAGACAGTCTCAGCAACTTAGTGAAGCAAGAAGCAACTCAGCGAGACCCTGTCTCTAATTAAATAAAATTTAAAGTGGGGCAAGGGGACTGGAGACCTGGCTCAGTGGTTAAGCACCACTGGGTTCAATACCCAACATCCAAAAAAAAAAAAAAAAAAAAAAAGGTGTGTGTGTGTGTGTGTGTGTGTGTGTGTATCTCCTAGGAAGCCTCTTGGATTTCCCAGCTAGAAATAATCCCCTACTCCTTGCAATTCCCATGGCACTTTAGTTGTGATGACACTCCCATTAAACACCCTACAGAGACTCTGCCTATTCCAGACAGGAGGGGTCACAGCCTCATTTCTTCTCTTACATGGTGTCGAGAACACTGCTTTGCATGTATTTCACACTGAGTATGTGAACTGAGTGACAGGCAGAGATGGCCAGTTATGTTCTGATTGTCACTAGAGAGTCTGTTTCTAAATGCTTCACAAATAAGCAAAAAAATCTATCCTCAGTTGCTTCTGTTTCTTCAGACCCTTTTACCACTCTAAGCTCTCTTCTGAGTGAATACCATTGCCTTCAAGCCCTTTTATCCTCACTCCACTGCTTCTTGGAAGACTGAAGTTTCTTCATTTTACATAAATAAATAAAAAGGAAACTAAAGATTCTTACCATTAGGAGAAACATAACTGGAAACCAACTCCTAAAATACATTTCTGAATCTCAAGAAGATTTCTTTCAAGACACCCTCCATAGTACTTATATTTCAATAAGACACAACCATCAAGCATGGTTCAATTTTTTTTTTTTTTTTGCTTAAGAGTATTATATTAGGGGCTGGGGTTATAGCTCAGCGGTAGAGCGCTTGCCTCATACTTGTGAGGTACTGGGTTCGATCTAAGCACCATATAAAAAATAAGTAAAACAAAGATATTGTGTCCATCTTTATTTTTTAAAAAAAGAGTGCTATATTAGAGGCTCCATGTTTTCAGTATAAATTAGTATTCCACACCTTTTCCTACATTTATAGTATGAAGACCAAGTACTACAGGGATTTGTATAACATTCTAGGGAAAAGCCAGAAAGTTACTCATGAATGCAGTAAATGGCCAGAGAGCCTGAGCAACCCCAGTACTAGTCTTATAGATGGGTTAGGAAGCTCTGCAGATTTATCACATTCTCTTCCTCACCAAAGGCTGTTTTTTAAAGCAGTTTCCTAATCATAATGTATTGGGCACTTCTGCACCACTTCCAGCATTACACAGAACAACAGATCCACATATATACTATGAGTCCTTGCTCTCCCATTTATGACTCCAACAACTGTAAGCCATTCTTCAACCCATCATTTTTTCATATTTTCTAATTTTCAAGCATTAATATGGATTTTTAAATGTGCCCTACATTCCCAGTGACCTATCAATCACTTTTTCCCTTTTATCTACTAAATCTCTAATATGATCGAAACATAGCAATGATTTAAAATGATTCAATACGATTCACTAATTTCACAATACGGTAGAAACACAATAAACACAGGAAGGCATTCATCTTCACCCTAGAAATTCCATTATGACTCAACATTACCCATTCAAACAAGAAGTATATCAAATGAACAAATGAAAAAAGGATCAAGGTCTTTCTCCAAAGAGTTATAAATAGGCAAAACAGAACCTGTAGTGATGACAGCTAACTTGCATTTTCCATTTTCTCTTTAAAATAACTTTTTATAATCAGATGTGGCACACACCTGTAATCCCAGCAACTCAGAAGGCTGAGACAGGAGGATCACAAGCTTGACGCCAGCTTCAGCAATTCGGCGAGACCCTCAGCAATTTAGTGAGACCCTTTCTCAAAATGAAAAATAAAAAGAGCTGGGGATGTGGCTCAATAGTAAAGTACCCCTGGGGTAAATTCCCAGTACCAAAAAATGTTTTTGAATAATTTTATATAATTTTTATTTAACTTATTCCTTCCTTATATCAGCAAATTATTGGGTACTTGATCTAAACTACAGTGCCTTAAGTTAACATTAAATAACTGAACTAGAAGACAAAAATACCTAGGAAGGAAAAAGAAAGACAGGATAACAGAGAAAAACCAACAAGTACAATATATTCTATGGCCAAAAAAAAAAAAAAATCAAGTGTCAAATTTCACAGCACTGTTTTTAATTACAAACCTTAAAAATTCAAAAACATTACCCAGTCTGCCTCTAAAAATTATACATGCTTACAGTGTTCTATACGGTTCATGAAAAAAGCTTCATAAACCACAATCATTTAAGAAATGGATTTTTCACCATTTGCTCTTGCCCAAACTTATCTGACCATCGAGTTACAATAAGGAAATTTTAGTGGTATAGAATAATATAGGTCATTATCCTTAGAAAATGCATGCTGAAATGGGTGGAGGTGGAAAATCAATGTATGCAAGTTACTTCCAAATGTTTCAGAGAACAAGGGTGTATTTGTTTTTATACACACACAAGCAAATGTACCTACACATTAATTGGTGAGTCTAGATAAAGGATATATAGGTACTCACTATATGATTTCTTTAAGTATAAATTTTTCCATGTAAAACTACGGAGAGGAAAGAGTGACTTAGAAAATTATTTAGCCACTCCTTAAAAAATCTGACCCACCCCAAAAAAAGAAATATTTGAAATTAATAGTTAATACATCTCATATTCACCATGTGATAGAAAAATTCCTCAGACACAACTATCTTACGTTAAAGAAAGGTTCTGACACTCACATTGCCCATATACTCTGAGAGCAAGTCCTGCAGGGCCTGGCGGACAGCATTGCATTCTGCCACAATCCGCTCACGACGGTCATCACGTGTACAGGACGAGTCAGCCATCAGGGCAGCTCCGCTAATGATGCTTTCCAGGCGCTCCTCCAAGGAAGGCCTAAAGCGCTCTTCACTGAAGCTCAAGGGGTCCACTATGATTTGTTTCTGTCAAGAAAGTATTATTGAATATAAATGCTCATCTCTGTTCCCTTTATCATTCAAGGAAAGGGGAAGTGTTTAGGAATATCAAGATTTAATTCTAATACCCAATAGAAAGTTATTCTTCTTGGTAGCTAAAGATCCATCCTATAAGTTGGGCTATGATAAATCACTTTTCAAAAAAGGCACTATCCAGCCAAGCAGTAAGGTATACCACAAATGCAATTACAACTGTATTATGTTCACACTACTTTTTCTAAACAGCTAAAGGTCAGTCTGTATTAGTAATTCATATTATCAAATAAGAATTATAAAAATAATTTATCTTTCTTACATTCAAAGTATAAAACTGCTACATGAGTATCAAAATTGTTCTACACAAAAATATTTAAAAATAAAAACAAAATTGACTTCTGTCACAAAATTTCAGAAAGAAATGCATTTATTAAATTAATTTCCATCTACTTCTCTCCTTATACATCTAATCAAGATTTATAAACAATTTGGTCTCAAATGTATCCTATTGTGTCTAAATTAGAAACTTACCTCCTCAAAGACCACAAGTATGCACTAAGACAGCAAGAGGTATAATTGCCCCACTAAAAACCAATTCTTGCCATCTCCCCTTCCCTCCTGACTCCACTTAAACACAGTTTTGCCAGTGAGTGTGGTCTAAATACAAGTAAGCTACAGGTGCAAGTTCGACCATCTATGTCCCCACTTGGTACAATTTACACTCACAATGGTAACCTTCTGTGCAAATTACTTTGGCTTTAATTTTTCTTTATAAGGATTATGTCCTTATTAATTTCAACTTAAATACCAATTTTTTTCTACTATAGGGATTATGTCCATATTAATTTCAATTTAAATGCCAAATTTTTTTCCTACAAAAAGCTTGATCTTTTCAAATGAGTAAATATTTTTTCCTTTCCTTCCAAAGAAACCTCAGTTTTAAAATTGAACATGTAATACATTAAATTTATTATTAATCCACCATTTTACTTAACCATTTTTCTTACCAAATTTGTATTACAGGATTTGTCTGATTAAAAACTGAATACAAAATACTTTCTGGCAAATGGAAATGAAGAATGGATGATCATAGAATTGTAATACAATCATGAAGCCACAATGGGCCTGAGATCATTTAGGACAACCCCTCATTTACAAATGAAAAAAACAGTGATTCTAAGAAATTAAGTGATATTACTTAATAACTTAGGGTAAAATGTGACCCCTACTAACTTGAAAGAGATAAATACCTAATACTGTCAAATTGGAAGAGGAGAAAACAACAGTTCCAGTAAGAGAGTTCCTTATAAATGGGTATTTTATTTCATGTTTAAGGGTCCAGGGTAAAATTTCAATTCTAATATCATGGTCTTTAGGCTTAACACTGCCTTCATGCTTCATGAAAAGCCCATCCTAAATCAGTCACGCACACCAGCAAGGATCAGTTACCCAAGCCTAAAGGATAAGACAAAGCCTAAAGGATCAGACAAAGAAAACATGCAAAGAAAAAAATGTTAAAAACAAAATACACTCTACTTGTATTGATTCTATATCCTGAATATTTCTATTCTGAAAGGACATTGGTTTCCTTTACCTTAATTTAAAAAAAAAAAAAGAAAAGAAAAATTACCCAAACACTTGGGTTTAAAACAAAACAAAATACCCTTTAAAAAAAGAAATCTTAAACTGCTGCCATCTACTGGAAGCCATGAAGCAGTGTGGGTAGGAATTAAAAACAAAACCCACCAAAGAAGTTAACATTAGAGTCATATACACGGGGCTGTATATATACACAATATGTGGTATTATGTTAATTTCAAAATCTGCTTCCATTTGATTAAATTTTATGTTCATGATTCAAATTAAAGTCACTGAGAAGTACATCTAGGCAGACAAATAAGATTAAGATGGCAGCAGTCACTATGATATATCTATATACCCCACTAGACCATGATCTCTTAGGGGACAAAACCTCTGCATACATTGCTGCTCTATTTCCAATATTTTCATGAATCTTCCAGAAGGTCAAAATCTTGGATAAAATGAACTAGATTCATATCCTCAATAGAGAATGATCTTGGGACTAGGGCTCATTGATAGAGGGCTTGCTTAGCATGTGTGAGGCACTGGGTTCAATTCTCAGCACCACATAAATAAATGAATAAAATAAAGGTCCATTAACATCTGAAAAGAAAATTAAAAAATAAAAAAGAATGATATCATAGCCAGGTGCAATGGCACACATCCTTAATCCTAGTGACTGGGGAGGCTGAGGCAGGAGGATCACAAGTTTGAGGATTTCCTCAATAAGTAAGGGAGGCCCTCAGCAACCTAGTGAGACCTTATCTCAAAATAAAAAGGGCTGGAGGTCTGGGGTTGTAGCTCATTGGCAGAGCACTAGCCTAGCATGTGTGAGGCACTGGGTTGGATTCTCAGCATATAAATAAAATAAAGGTCCATGAACAACTAAAAAAAAATTTTAAGTGGGGGGAGGGGAAGCTGGAGATGTAGCCCTTGGGTTTAATTCTCAGAACCAAAAAAAAAAAAGGAAGAAAAAAAAAAAAGAAGAATGCCCTCATAGGAAATACTTGTTGCAAAAATGAATCCCGAAATTCAATCCAAGCTAAGAAAAAAGATAAATGCTTTAAACCAAGTTATGATTAAGTAGACTGATGATTCTTCTACTTGTATCACAAATCTAAGTGTCATCTTTTGCAGATTGGTGAGAGTCTTAAGTTTCCTCTCAAGTGTAACTTACATCAAAGTTATTGAGAGCATATGCCAATTCTCCTCCTCCTCCACCCTGATGCTGGGAGGCATCATCTGATGCGGTAGATTGGGCTGCATTGGAGATGCCTGTGACTGCCTGTTGAAGCTGTTTGTATATCAAATCCCGGTTGGCCTTATAGGCTGCGACATCCGGATGTTGTAGGCATGCCTGGGATGCAGTATACAGGATCGGAACATTTTTCTGCAGGATTCCTCTAGCTGCGGCCATCTGATCACGATGGCCCACATCTTTCAGTTCCTACAAGAGTAAAATAAGAAATTGGAGCATTCTTTATGTGGGTTAGAGTCACATGAAAATTTGCTGGTACAGGCAGTAAAGTTAAGAGTTCTACCTATCAGACACATTACTTTCATTAACAATCTGACTTGAAAGTTAAGCACAAAGGAAACAGTATGAGTTAATATGTTGTGTTTGAGCTTTAGAATCACAGAAATCTGGATTTAAATATCCTAGTCTACTTTTTCCTGGCTATTGTGACCTTATTTTACACTTTGTGCTCAGTTTCTCCCTCTGTAAAATATGAGCAGTAACAGAAGCTCTTTTGTTGTTTGGGGGAATAAACGGAATAATGCATGTAAAGCACCTAGCATAGCACAGTAAAACATAAAACTACTTAGCAACTTGATTATAACTATACATAGATATGTGTACCTATTCCAGCAAACCAAAATATAAAAATCATATTGACACACATTTAAACAAAGTAAGATAATAAGGATTTGTTAAGTTACATTAGAAGAGTTTGGGGAAATCTGGAGCAGAATAACATAGTTATATATGAACTATACAAAACCACCTAGGTGAGGATGTACCCAGTTATTCTCACAAGTACAGAACTCCTCTCCCCACCTTTGATAACCCAAAGACTAAGACACAGAACCATAAAACACAGAACCAAACTTTCCTTGCCCAATAAAATTCAGCAGTACACAAGTCATTAAATCATAAAGTTGAGGTTCATATGCTCTATTATTTTAATCCATGATTATAATATTCTGAATAGATATAGCCTTAAATGAAAAAATCCTTTTCTATTTCTTATACCCCATTACTGATCCAACAAAAGGATCTGAGGTTTCTGGCATCCTTACCACTAATGGTATCTACTGGGTAGGCTGAGAACATATGCAAAGCAACAGTTAAGTGATATCAACAATAAGCAAGACCAGAAGGGGGCATTTCTGATATCCCATTGTTACTGAAATTACTCAAAGAGAAAAAAAAAAAAAAAGGTTCTTGGGCCGGCTGTGGTGGTACACACCTATAATTCCAGCAACTTGAAGGATGAGGTAGGAGGACTGCAAGTTCAAAGCCAACCTCAGCAACTCAGAGAGGCCCTAAGTAACTCAGAGAGACCCTGTCGCTAAATAAAATATTTAAAAGGGCTGGGGATATGGCTCAGTGGTTAAGCATCTGTAGTTTCAATCCCTGGTATTTAAAAAAAAAAAGAAAAGAAAAGAAAGCCTTGGTAAATGTGGATCACCATCTATAGAGAAAGAACACAGGTGATAACTTTACCTGATCACTCTATTTTACATGCAGTCATAGAATTGCAATATTACAGTCACCAACTGAATGCTAGAGTACAAATTCAAATGTTTATGAGTTTCATATACATAAACAAGAGAAAATTTACCTAACTTCAAAAGGCTATATCAATTACTCAATTTAAAGTCTGACTTAGTTATTTAATAGCTCATCTTTCTATATGAATTCCTAATTACACATTAAGAGGGATCAAACTAGATTCCTTTTTTCTGAAACTTCATCTCAGTACATATTTTAGGGTTTACATCTTTATTCAAATCTTGTATAGTACCACAGTTTACTTTCCCTCCTGGAAGTCTTTTTTCCTTTGGAACCAAAATTTGCAAGTAATAGATCGAAGCATTTTAAATGCCCTATAGCACGATACATTAGGCTAAATATTCAGAAAGTGGACCCTATGGATTTATAAAATGAGTAATCATTTCAAGATTCAAGTTAATACAGAGGCTGATGATCAATCAGCACAGCCTCTTATAAAGGTCACCTAAGATATTTGTGGTCACCTAAAGTTAATAAGTCCAAAATTAGTATCCAATACTTGACTTCCCCAAGTCACTTCCTGGTGTGGCATAATAAACTTCTATTTTTCCAAAGACTACATTAAGCTTCATATTAAAAAATAGGTCCCTATGGATTTAGAGACTGGTGATCACTTCAAGACTAAAGTTACAATGAGAGGTCACAGCTAACCATTATGCTTAAATAGTTGGTGCACATGTTCTCTGTGGTATTTTCTAAATGTCTTGCCCTCGCTATAAAACATTATCTCTGATAGATGCCTATTTGCCAAGTATTGGGGATATATTTTAATCTGTGATGAAAATGACAACTAAATATCATCGTTTGGGCTGGGGATGTGGCTCAGGCAGTGGCGCGCTCGCCTGGCATGCATGCGGCCTGGGTTCGATCCTCAGCACCACATACAAACAAAGATGTTGTGTCCACCGAGAACTAAAAAAAATAAATAAATATTAAAATATTTTCTCTCTCTCTCATATCTCTCTCTCTTTAAAAAATAAAATAAAATAAAATATCATCGTTTATCCTTACTACAAAGAGGCTGTATTTTCCTCTTCAGAAGTACTTTTGCCTTAGCACAAAGAAACTAGCTTTTTGGTAAGTAAAGACAGGAAACAGGACACTACAGTGAGCATCATCATTAATTGTAATAAGAACAAATCAATGCTAGGCACCATGGTGCGTGCACACCTATAATCCAGCAACTAGAAGGCTGAGAGAAGAGGACCACAAGTTCAAGATCAACCTCTTTAACGTAGCAAGATTCTGTCTCAAAATGAACTTAAAAAGGGCTAATGATACGTATGTGTGGTAAAATATCTTCCCCAGTACCAGGAGAAAAAAAACAAATCAATCAAAAGTAAACTTTTCAAGATATATAGTGCTGATAAGAAATTCAAATTACTGAGAAAAATGAGCTATTAAGCAATGTAATAAATAGTTTACTTATAAAATTAGATTCCTTCCAGGTGCGGTGGGACAGGCCTGTAATCCCAGCAGCTCGGGAGGCTGAAGCAGAAGGTCTAGAGTTTAAAGTCAGCCTCAGCAAAAAAAACGAAGTGCTAATCAGTGAGACCCTGTCTCTAAATAAAATACAAAATAGGGCTGGGGATGTGGCTCCGTGGTTGAATGCCCCTGAGTTCAATCCCTGGTACCCAAAAAATAATAAAAATAAATAAACAAACAAAATTAGAATCCTGTAGTCTAGTTTAGCTTTCATGATTCCTCAACTTCACCAATCCAGTTACGATTCAAGCCGACTCAGGAACAGCCAAACAGAAAACAGAGGAAAGAACTCAAATTAACAATCCAGTCCATTCAATGACCAAGAAGTAGAAGCTCTCGTCTCATCAGAGTATAATACTATTTCTACCCAAGTGAAAGTTTCTTCTTATTTCCCTATTTAACAAGATAATATCATAGCCACAGATATATTTGATCACATCTCGTCTCGTATTCAAAAGATCATATTTGCAGGTACAAAATAATATACCTGTTCAATTTTTGGAAAAATAACCATGCAAAGCAGAGTTTATAGAAAGAAGAGGCATTAGGTTCTTCCAAATATCACAATAAGTTGTCCGTAGATGGGTGAATGAAATATGAACATTAAAACACTAAGTCCCTAGCATGTTGGAGACCCAGAGTTGACAGCACGAGTCAGCATTGGTCCTCCTTACAGAAACCAAGGTTAATGTTAGCTCAATTTGAACTCTGCCATCACCTTTACACTTTCCTATGGTTTGAATGTATTCCGCCAAAAGTTTACATGTTGAAAACAATCTCCAAAATCATATGTTAATGCTATCTGCAGGTGAAGCTTTTGAGAAGTAATCAGGATTGAATGAGGTCATGAGGGTTTTAATAGGAGAGAAAAAGAGATCCAAGCTTTCTCTTGATAACAGATACCTTCTTCCATGTTAGAATGCATCAAGAAAGCCCTCAGTAGATGCTGAGCAAATCAACTGGGACCATGGTCTTGGATTTCCCTGCCCCCAGAACTACCAGCTAAATAAACATCTATTCATTATAAATCACACAGTATGTGGTATTCAGACACAACAGAAAATGTATTAAGATACCCTTATGGTCAAAGTAGAGCCTAGAGGCTAATAGAAATGCAACATTCTAGTTAGCAAACAATATTTTAGCCCAAGAAAGTAACAAATTAGAGCCACACTTAGAATCCCACTCCAGGATAGTTCTGCAGTATAGCAAGTAGTCTGTTTATACATTTGTTAAACAAATAATTATTAAGAAATACTAGGGCCTGGGTTGTGGTGCAGTGCTCACCTAGCATGTGTGAGGCACTGGGTTTAATCCTCAGCACCACATATAAACAAATAAAATAAAGGTATTGTGTATGCCTACAATTAAAAAAGAAAGAAAGAAACAAGAAATACTAAGTCTAGGCAATGTTCTAGGCACTAGGGATTCTAGGAGCAATAAAACAGACAAAATCCCTGTTCTTAAGTGAGACAGTTTAGGATCAAATCCTAGATCCACTACTTACTAAGTGAAAAACCTTGCCAGATTACATAACCTCTCTGTGTTACAGTTCCTTCATCTATAAAAATTAACATGTGAATAATTATAGTATCTGCCTATTTACTACTTTCTTAAGATTAAATTCAGTTTGTGTTTATAAAGGATTTGTAACAGGGCTGAGGATATAGCTCAGTGGTAGAGCACTTGCCTAGAATGCATGAGGCCTTAGCTTCAATCCCAAGCACTGCAAGGGGTGCGGAGCGGCGGGGTGCGGAGCGGCGGGGTGGGGGATACCTTATAACAGTGCTTGGCACATAGTAAACACTTGCTTAGAGTTACTAATGAATAACTCTAACAAAATGTTTTATTCTAATATTATTGTCAACAATGTCGTCATGACTACCATGCCATATCCAAAAACAAAAAAGGTAAATTCCAGAAAGCATGTGGACCTTATGAGGTTTTCTTTAATAGGTAGCTGTTGTTAAATGATACTACTAGGGCAGTTAAGAGAGCCACACAGTCTTGAGGAAATACTCCCTTTTCCTGGACAAAGGGCGCCTACAAAGATGAAAGGCTCAATTAGGAAGCAAATTATCACATAACATTTCTGGGGAGAAAAGAAAAAGTCAAGTGAACACAGACCAATGGCTAAGCATACAGCAGAAAAAGAATTCTATTAGAAAACACAGTGTGGGAAAACATGACCAGTTATTGAAGGAAATTAGCGGATAGTACCCAAATGCAGCTAAATATGGAAATACCCAGTGTGAAGTTTCCAACAAGCTGGACCCTTAAGATAAAATGAACAGAATTTTAATTCACAAGAAAAGAACTAGGAATACACAAGAAGTATAGGAAAACCACAAAGCTATTAGGTCACTTAAGTCTGAAGGGACATGAGCGGCAGCAGTTACCAAAATCCAGGGTGCAGGACCCAGGAACTTTGGATCTACCCAGGGCCACCAGCAGATAGGGGGTCTATGAAAAACACCCCAACTTCGCTCTCCTATCTCCTTTAACCTCCTGCTTATGCTCCCACTGGCCAAACCTAACCAGGAATAACAGGGCAAAAGGAGCCCATTGATGCATCCAGACATGGTAGATTCCAGGGCAGAAAATAGGGTGAACAATGATGAAAACCAGGATATTGAGGGATAAATAGGCCTGTTGGGCACGTTGCCAGAGGATTAATATCTAAAATATATGTAAAGAACTAAAAAAAAAAAAATTAACACAAAAAAACTCAAATAATCCAATTAATAAAATGGGTAAATGAATTAAACAAACACTTTTCAAAAGAAGAAATACAAATGGCCAAAAAAAAAACAAAATCATAGAAAAAATGTTCATCATAGCAATTGTGGAAACATAAATCAAAACTACACTGAGACTTCATCTCTCACCTAACAGAACAGCAGTCATCAAGAATACAAACAATAATAAATGATGAAGAAAAAGAAACACTTTTACACTGGTGGTGGGATTGTAAATTAGTACAACCACTATGGAAATCAGCGTAAAGGTTCCTCAAAAGACTAGGCATGGAACTACTTTATGACCCACCTATACCACTCCTCAATACTTATTCTAAGAATTAAACTCATCAAACTTTAGTGATACATCATTCCATCACAATTCATAATAGCCAAACTAGAGAACTAGTTTAGGTGTTAATCAACAGATAAATGGATAAAGAAAACATGACATATATACCCAATGGAGTTTTATTCAGCCATAAAGAAAAATGAAGTGTAATTTGCACAAAAACAGATGGAACTAGAGACCATTATGTTACATGAAATAAGCCAAACTCATAAGGTCAAGGGTTATATGTTTTCTCTCATATGTGGAAACTAGAGGCGGAAAAGATTAAAAAAAGGTGGTGGTAGGAATCTCAAGAAAATCAAAGAGAGATGAGTAGAGGAGAACAACTGGGGTTGGGAGACAAGGAAGGAGGGAATAAGTGCTGGGGGGACAATCAAGGCCAAAATATACTGTTATATTGTGTGCAAGTATGAATGTGTAACAACAAATTCCACCATTATGTACAAATTATAATACACATAATATACAAAGGAAAAAAGAGCATAGGTATGTATGTATGTGTACATTTCAGATTCAGGGTAAGTTTATGAGGGCTTCTAGGTTGTTTGCACAAAGAGAGATATATAAAAGAAACCTTTTATTCTCATCGGACACATTAATATATGCAAATATCACACTTAGAACATCTACACCCATCTAGCAACAGGTACACTAAAGATAACATGTTGAAAAAATGTCAAGATTTTCTCAGCAAAAAACAATCTGTGAGGTGAACAGAGAGCCTACCTACATCCTGGGAGCAAATCTTTCCCCCCTCACACATCAGATAGAGCACTAATCTCTAGGGTATATAAAGAACTTAAAAAGCTAAGCACCGAAAAAACAAATAACCCAATCAATAAAGGGACCAAGGAGCTGAACAGACACTTCTTAGAAGAGGACATACAAGCAATCAACAAATATATGAAAAAATGCTCATCATCTCTAGCAATCAGAGAAATGCAAATCAAAACTATTCTAAGATATCATCTCACTCCAGTCAGAACGGCAGCTATTATGAAGACAAACAACAATAAGTGTTGGCGAGGATGTGGGGAAAAAGGTACACTCATACATTGTTGTGGGACTGCAAATTGGTGCAGCCAATATGGAAAGCAGTATGGAGATTCCTTGGAAATCTGGGAATGGAACCACCATTTGACCCAGCTATTCCTCTCCTCGGACTATACCCAAAGGACTTAAAAACAGCATACTACAGGGACACAGCCACATCAATGTTTACAGCAGCACAACTTACAATAGTTAAACTGTGGAAACAACCTAGATGCCCTTCAGTGGATGAATGGTTAAAAAAAAACGTGGCATATATACACAATGGAATTTTACTCAGCAATAAAATCATGGCATTTGCAGGTAAATGGATAGCGCTGGAAAAGACAATGCTAAGTGAAGTTAGCCAATCCCAAAAAAAACAAATGCCGAATGTTTTCTCTGATATAAGGAGACTGACTCAAAATGAGGTAGAGAGGGGGAACATGGGATGAATAGATGAATTCTAGATAGGGAAGACGGGAGAGAGGGAAATGGAGGAGGCAGGGGATTAGCAAGGATGGTGGAATGTGATGGACATCATTATCCAAAGAACATTTATGAAGACACGAATTGGGTGTCAACCTACTTTATATACAAACAGAGATATGAAAAATTGTTGTATATATGTGTAATAAGAATTGTAATGCAAAAAAACCCAAATACATAAAGACATGAATCAGCATGAACATACTTTATACAAAGATATGAAAAAAGATATGTGTAATAAGAATTGTAATACATTCCTCTGTCGTGTATTTAAAAAAAATAAAACAATTACAATTTTTCAACTTTTAATAAAATATTTACTTTGTGTATATGTAATGATAACTTTAGTACTGCTTTCATTATGAACACTGCTTAGTGGAAGGGATAAATTTGTTTTCTAAGCAATAGGTTTAGAAGAAAGACGATTTTTAAGTGAGAAAAAAAAAACAAATTAAAGTCAATAGGGTTTCCTTTATATTATTTCTTCTTTATTCTGTTTATGAGTAAAATCATGCAGCACTCATCTTTCTGTGCCTAGTGTATTTCACTTAGCATAATGATCTCCTGTTAACACTATGCTATGCACATGACACTTTTTTGTTCTTTTTCATGATGGACAGTATTAATCTATGTATACACTACATTTTCTTTATCAATTATTCATTTTACTGTTGGCAATTGTGATTAATGTTGCAATAAATGTTGTAGCCCAAGCGTCTCTTTGACATACTTTTAGGGGTCTCATTAAAAAAAAAAACCATATTCATTCCAATGTTCTTAAAAAAAAAAAATGTCAAAAGCCTGGATCCTTAAGATATTGCAAAGTTCTTAAATTTTAACAACCCTGAAGTCACTTCACCAAACTTAAGTCAGTGAAAAAATGCCCACCTCCTCTATTCAAGGAGTTAAGAGTTGGGTTTCCTGTACAGATAGTACAAGATATCCTAACTGATTAGAATATTAGGTAATAATAACAATTCATCCTTTCAGAGATTGTTTTCTTTTAAATATGTTTCAGTTGTTGATAGACCTTTATTTTATTTACTTATTTATATACGTGGTGCTGAGAAGCAAACCCAGCACCCCACACATGGTAGGCAAGCACTCTACCTCTGAGCCACAACTCCAGCCCCTCAGAGATTGTTTTAATATAAGAAAAGTAGTTGCTGAGTAGAGGGTGTAACTTGGTGGTAGAACACTTGTCTAGAATACAGAAGGCACTGGGTTCAATCCTAGCACCATCCTTGAGGTGGGGAAGTAGAGTAAGTTTCATCAGTACTTGAGGAGTTATAAAAAAGCTGGATGGCAATGCATGTATCCTCCTTGCAGAACACAAACCTAAAATACAAAGTATCCAACAGAAAAGACACAGGAAGGATTTCAAAGACCCCAATAGCAAACAGGTTGTGGAACTTGAAAAAAATGAGAATAATGATCCACATGCCACACACAACAAAAACAACTAGTAATGATTATAAGAGCTACTTTAAATTGACAAAGCAGCGGGGAGGGTCTCAGATGTAGAGATAACTTTAATATGTTTTAACTTATTTAGGTTTCCTAAAGATCTAAATTCTACTTATTAAATTCTACTAAAACTCACATTAATACTTGAACACATCTAACAAAGGCCAATCACCTCCCCATATATATCTTCATCAAAAATGATAAACTACTTAAAATTTTCACAAAATTAAAATGAGAGAATAACATGAATACAACTTTATTATAATTATACTTCCGTTAAGAGCACAATACCAAACTGATACCTTAGTTTAAATATTTTAATTAAACTGTATTAGCAGAGCAAGATAATGGTACCATCAGAAAACGTAGGCAAAATGGTTTTTTTCCCCACTAAATATAAACAATTTTAAAATATCCCCAAATAATGACTGTACCTGTTGTCTTTTAGCTGCCATAATGTTCAGCTTATCTACTTCAGGTTTCAGGGCTTTATACTGTATTCCTAAGTCTTGTTCATTGCCAGCATTCCTCAGTTTCAAGATACCATCTTCTACCTATAAAACACAACCCCAAAAAACAAAAGTTCTGACTTACAAGTCTATAGATAATGATATGTATGGTATGGTATCTGAGACTATTTTTTAATTCCTTTTAACAACTACTCAAAAGCAATTCAAAGTTAAATCTCTTGAGCTGCTATGGACCTCCTATTACATGGATGCTTTACAAAAAGGTAGAAAGGACATATAGTAATATTGGTCTCTATCTAAAAGTGTACAATGTAATGTATCTTAGTTTTTCAATTCTACCAATGCAAGGAAATGTTTAATCAGTACTGCAAATAAGTCTAAACAATACCTTTGCTACAAGTTCTTCCTTAGAATCAAGACAACACTAGCTCATAGGAGGGCCCAGATCATATATACTTGAAAAAGTAGTAAGCATAAACTAAACAAAACATTCATGGTCCATGTAGATAAACTTCAAAACCAAAGTAAAACCTAAGAACTGATGAACTAAGAATGGCCACCATCAGCTTCACTATGATAAACAAAGAACAAATTACAAACATAGGCCCATACTTACAACTTTCAGCTGAACTAGTAGTTTGTAGACATCTGCCATATCAGCCAAAATCAGCAGCCGGGTAACAGCAGAGAGCAAAGCTCGAGCTGCCCGAACCATATTGCCTCGCTTCACAGAAGAGCAGGGATCATCTGCAAACTCTCCTGCAGCACTCTTCATCAAATCTCCTGTTTTACAAAATGGGGGCAAAAAAAAAATAAAATAAAATACTCAGCAGGGATTAAAATGAATGGCTGATCAATATTATAAAAAATAGTCCAAACTCTATATTTCACACAAGATTTTAGTATAGGGGTCATCATTTTTGTTGCTTGCTCTTCTTTCTTAAGTAACAACTACCATTGAAACAAACACCCTCATATGGTACCAATGAAAGCAAAATATCCAAAAAGTGACTTGCACTATTATCAAAAGACTTAAAAATACTTCTTCCCTTTGATCTAATGATAATATGCTTTTTCAAAAAGCTTTTACTAAAGAAGTAAAAAAAAAAAAAAAAAAAAACTAAGATCTGAGGGGAGAGGAAAAAACACTAATCAAATGCAATCTACACCCACATCCACAGAATAATTCAGAAATACAACCACCACTAGGTATACCACCACACTTCCCTAACCATCCCAACTATCCAATTTCTATATTCCTAACAAAGATTCTTTGATATCTGAAAATTCAGAGTTCAGTCACTGATTCTTTCATTTCTCTTACAGCAAAACACTGCCAATAGGTCAAATGCTCAACAATAAGGAACTAGTTAAGTAAATTATGGTGAGGCTACAACTATTATAAAAATGTTAGCATATGAAAAATGTAAAGGTTTATGATAGAATCTTAAGCAGAAAAATATGAAATTCCAAATGTATGTAATCTGTGGTGTTTTTTTTTAAAGAAAAAACTGCAGTGAAAAGGCAACTAAGAGTCATTACTAGGTTACATTCTGCCTCTTAATATTATTTTGTATTTATGAAACTAGATTCTATAATAAACTGGTTATTGCGTCTATAATTTTAAAAATTAAGCTTGAAACATAAAATAGACTTTATCATAGTTGTTAAGAATATCCAGGGCTGGGGATATATAGCTCAGTTGGTAAAGTGCTTTGCCTCCCATGCGCAAGGCCCTGGGTTCAATCCCCAGCACCACAAAAAAAAAAAAAAAAAAAAAAAGAATATCCAGCATAAGCTCAACTCACAATAACTAAACTATAGAAACAACCTAGGTGACCTTCAAGAGATGAATGAATTTTTAAAAGGGTGTGGGGGGGGGTGTAAAATGGAATATTATTTAAAAGGGTGTGGGGGGGTGTAAAATGGAATATTATGGCATTTGCCAGTAAAGGGATGGAGCTGTAGAATATCATGTAAAGGGCTGGGATTGTGGCTCAGTGGTAGAGCGCTCGCCTAGCACGGCAGGACCCGGGTTTGATCCTCAGCACCACATAAAAAAATAAAGGCATTGTGTTGTGTCCATCTACACCTAAAATATCAGGGGAAGAATAGCATTACTTTAGATTAGATAGAGAGGGGGGAAGGGAAGGGAGGGGGTAAGTAGGTAGGAAGGATATGTGGATAGGAAGGATAATAGAATAAAACAGACATTATTACTTTATGTACATATATGATTTATGTACATATATGATTGCACAACCAATGTGATTCTACATGTATAATCAGAAAAATGAGAAATTATATCCATTTATGTATGATATATCAAAGTGCATAAATGTTTTCTACTGTCATGTATAAGTAATTAGAATAAATTTTAAATTTTTTTTTAAAAAAAGGAATATACAGGGCTGGGGTTGTGGCTCAGCGGTAGAATGCTCGACTACCTACCTCCTCAGCACCATATAATAAATAAATAAAATAAAGGTATTGTGTCCAACTACAACTAAAAAATAGATATATTTTTTAAAAAGTATACACAACATATACAATCCTGAGTTCAAGAATTTATTTACAAGGGGGACAAGAACAATAGAATGAATCAGATATTATGACCCTATGTACATATATGATTACACAATTGGTGTAATACTACATCATGTACAACCAGAAGAATGAGAAGTTAGACTCCATTTATGAATAATGTATCAAAATGCATTCTACTGTCATGTATAATTCTTTAGAGCAATTTTTTAAAATAAAAAAGAATTTATTTACATTATTTCCTGGAAACTTATACAAATTATACTTTGTTTTATTAATTTCTATTGATAAGCATTTCAGGTGATTATTATGCCTCCCTCCTCCTCCTCTTTTTTTTTGGTACCAGGAAGTGAACCCAGGGGCGCTTAACCACTGAGCTACATCTGGTCTTTTTTGTATTTTATTTAGAGACAGGGACTCACTGAGTTGCTCAGCGCCTCACTTTTGCTGAGGCTGGCTTTGAACTCATGATCCTCCTACCTCAGCCTCCCAAGCTATTGGGATTACAGTATAGGCCACTGTGCCTGGCTATACCTCCCCTTCTTATAGCTGGAAGCACATAGAGGGCCAGGGCTATGTCTTGTACACTGGTATTCTGATGGTAGTTGTATGGTGTTATCTTTGGGGTCCTGGAAAAGCACTTACTCTCTTTCTCTGCTGAGTATATCCACTGTAGATTAAAGCCTAAAAGCCATTCTCTTTCTCATTTCCATGTATTTTGTTTGTTTGTTTTATTTTAAGGGCCATTTTCAAAAAAGTAAACTATTTATCAACACATCAGAATTTCTAACAACTTTAGTTGTACAGAAAAAATTTAAGTTACTTCAGATTCATACATCAATTAGACTTAAAAGCTCTATAGAATACTAAGAGTAAAGATAAGCTCTGCATATTTATCAGGTCAGAAATAACTCATGATGAAGAACTCTGCAGATGAAAAGTTTTCCTATATCTGATATATACCTCCTTTATATCTTTAAAAAGATACTGACATATGGCAATCATGTAAATTCATAACATTAATAATAATGTCTCAGGGTATTTTAAAAAATGATTTATAGCTGGGTGCAGTGGCAGACACCTGTAATCCCAAGCAGCTTGGGAGGATGAGGCAGGAGGATCACGAGTTCAAAGCCAGCCTCGGCAATTTAGCAAGGCCTTAAGCCGCTCAGTGAGACCCTGTCTTTAAATAAAATACAAAATAAGGATAGGGATGTGGTTCAGTGGTTGAATGCCCCTTAGTTCAATCCCTGGTGGCCCCCCAAGAAAAAAAGATTTATTTATTCAACAAATATGAGCACCCACCACACATCAAGGACTATATTAGGAACTGGCAGTATGTCCACAACAAACAGCCCATGCTTTCATGGAGTTCTATGAGATATCAAAGAAGGAAGCACTAACAACCAGTTTGGTGAAGAAGTAAAATGTTAACAGGTACATGGAAGGTATTCTGAACTGGACCCAACTTGCAAAAGATAGGAAGGATTTTGGCAGGAGAATTAAGAGTTACCACTTCAAGTAGAATGAACATAATAATGTGCAATATTTATTAAATTAATTTTATCAATCATACAGAAAGTAGGTGGCATTAGCCCTTTTTAAGAATGAGGCAACTAGGGCTGGGGATATAGCTCAGTTGGTAGAGTGCTTGCCTTGCATGTAAAAGGTCCAGGGTTCAATCTCCAGCACCACACACACACAAATAAAAGGCAACTAATGCTTACACAAGTCAAATAACTTAATCCCTGTCACCAAACTAGTGAATGATAGACCAGGATTTGCAATGCCAATACTAACATTCTTAGAACCAAGCTGAGGAACACAGTAAGATACAATTGGAACCTGAATTCTTTAATCTCACTGAAAAGTAAGGGCTGCATACAGGAGAGAAAGAAGTGATGGATAGAAAGGCCATGGACAAACAGAATTCAATAAAGAATCCTTGAGCTAGGGGAAGTCAAACTCATGGAAGGAGAAAATTAACCTAATCTTACATACAATAAACCTGACCAGAAAGAGACATCAGAAAGCTGCAGTGGTGACCTAGGAAAGAGTAATAGAAAATTTTAAAGGCAGGGGTCAAAAGATCTATTAACTTTTGATTATAAAGTATTAAGAAGAAACCAACAAAAATTAAAGATTCCAAGCTAGGGTTGCCTTAAAAGTAAGAGGGAACAAGCAAGAGCTGAATGACAGCATATAAATTGAGAGAAATTAAAAAGGAGAAGGGGTGGGGGAAGGTGTGTAGTTACAGTGGCACATGCCTACAACTGCAGCTATCTGGAAGGCTTAGTTGAGAAAATCACAAACTTGTTTTTGTTTTTTGGAGGTGAAGTCTTACTGTGTTGCCCAGGCTAGTTATAATATTATAACTAAGTATAATAATTATATATATTATGTATAATATATATATTATTATTATAACTAAGTATAATTATTATACCTCAAAATGTATACATGAAGGCTCATGGCAGCTTTAGTCATAATAGTTAAAAAGCCAAACACCCATCAATTAATGAATGGCTAAACAAATTTTAATATATCCCTATATATAACAATAAAAAGTAACCAAGTGCTGCTTCATTACCAAAGTACTGGTACATTACCCAGTGGGGTAAATCTCTTTTGATTGCCTCAATTCTTCCTTGAATGTGTATCTACTTTGCTAAATAAACCTCTTCTGTGCCTTTAAAATAGAAAGAAAATAACAATCACACAAAGTTAAAGAAGTCTGTCACAAAAAAACACAAATTGTACCATTCCAATGAAATTTCTACAATAGGCAAATCTAGAGACAAAAAGTGTATATATTAGTGGTTGCAGGCAGGTTAATGGGGTAGGGGTATCAGAACTTAATGTTAATAGATACAAAAGGATTTTTCTCTGAGGTGATGAAAATGTCAGATTACACAGGGGTGATGGCTATACAACCTTGTGAATGTACTAAGAACTAATCACTTTTATACTTTATAAGGGGTAAATTTTATGGTATGTGAATTATGATATTAACAAGGGGGGAAAACATCAAATGTAATAACATGAGTGAATACAGGTCTTGAAGCTGAAGGCCTAGATTTTGGTCTATTCATTTACAAGCTACACAACTGGACTCTATACATCTGTTTCTTCTCTAAAATGTCAATAATACCCCCTCTCTAAAATGTCAAGAATACCCCACTACATAGCTACATCCCCAATCTCTAATATGAGACATTGGGGATGTAGCTATGTAGCAT